CTCTCTCTCTCTCTCTCTCTCTCTCTCTTCCTGTGGACCCTTAAGGTCAGAGGAGCCGTCACAGTGACCCCAATGAAAAAGGTATTTGTGTCTCTTGTGTGGTTATTTCGTGCAGCCCAGTTAGCCCAGTTCAACTGGAGTAAACCCTGAGCCTTTTAGTCGAGAGAACAGAAACCCAGCAGTAGAGATTCCTTGGAAAACTGGGAATGGAACCACCATTTGACCCAGTTATCCCTCTCCTCAGTCTATACCCAAAGGACTTAAAAGCAACATACTACAGGGACACAGCCACCTGAATGTTTATAGCAAAAAATTCACAACAGCTAAACTGTGAAACCAACCTAGATGCCCTTCAGTAGATGAATGGGTAAAATAAAATGTGGCATATACACACAATGGAATATTACTCAGCAATAAAAGAGAATAAAATCATGGCATTTGCAGGTAAATAGATAGAGCTGGAGAATATAATGCTAAGTGAAGTTAGCCAATCCCCAAAAACCAAATGCCGAATGTTTTCTTTAATATAAGAGGACTGATTCATAGTGGGGTAGGGAGGGGGAGCATGGGAGGAATATACGAACTCCAGATAGGGCAGAGGGGTAGGAGGAGAACGGAGGGGGCAGGGGTTAGAAATAATGGTGGAATGTGATGGACATTATTATCCAAAGTACATGTATGAAGACACAAAAAACAAAATAAGTAAATAAACAAACAATATCATATATATATAGTGGGTGGACTTGTAGAAGTAGTTGTCACACTTATCGATGGCTTGTTTTTGTTTTTAGTACTGTGGACTGAATCCAGGGGTGCTTACGACTGACCATATCCCCCGCAGCGCCTCCTTTTTTCTTAGTACTAGGGATTGAACTCAGGGGCACTGAGCCCCATCCCCGGGCCTTTTTTTGTATTTAGAGACAGGGTCTCACTGAGTTGTTTTGCGCCTCACTTTTGTTGAGGCTGGCTTTGAATTTGCAATCCTCCTTACTCAGCCTCCTGAGCTGCTGGGATTACAGGTGTGCACCATCGCACCCAGCTCCCCAGCCTTTAAATTCCAAGGTAGGCCAAGTCAGCGCCACTTAAACTTAAGTTGGGTCAGAACTCAGTGGTGAGCAAACACTAGTTATAAAGTTCACTAATTCCCCCAAACAGATGATTTAACATTCTGAGTTTCAACACACCCTCCAGAGTCATTCTTATCACCCTCCCCTCCTGCCGGTACTGGGGGTTGAACTGGCGTCCACCACTGGGCTCTATCCCCATCCATGCTCTCTCTTGGTTTTTGAGAGTCTTGCTAAATTTCAAAGGCTGGCTTCTCTACCTTGTCACCCTCCTGCGGCGACTCTTTCCTAACTTCATCTGCTCCCTCTCATACATTCGACCCCAAGTCAGCATTATCTTCAATAATTCTTTTTACAATAACTTGTTTGCCACCCAAACCCTTAGGTGGAATTAGAAGACTGGGTCATGGTCTCAGTGAATGGCGGAGTTACGCAGCGGGCAAGGGCCTCTGCTCCTCTTCTTCCTGTGTTTGCCTTACTTGCCAAGTCAGGCTCCTTGGTGATGAGTTGCATCAAGAGCCAGGACAAAAACAAAAGCTCACAAAAGCAGTCAAGGTGTAAAGTGTTCCTCCCTCTGACCCTGCCAACTTGGAGAGTACACCCTTTGGAAATAATCCAGAAAATGGGAAAGGTTTACACCCAACTAGGCTAATTGGGCAGTATTTATCTCAGGGCAACTTCGGACACCAGTTTTTTACCATACATAGAAGAATAAAGAAAAGGGCGCTCACTGTCTTGCTGGAAGAGTTGGAAGCCATTACAAATGGCCGTACAGGGATGGGAAAGCCACCACCACCAAAAAACATGGAGAGTGCCGCTCTGCAAAGGTGGGAAAGGTCTCAGCTTCGCCGACTCCGTGCACCCCGGTGAGCGGAAGGGGAGGGTCAGGCAGGGCGGAGGCACCACCTCCCCGGGAGGGCGAACCGTGGCTTGCCCCGACATCTCCTCCTCTCCCACACTCACGCATCCCTGAATCAGTGGGGACAGTACCCAGCTCTCACACCTTAGTTCAGCAGGAGGAGGAAAAGTGGTGTCAAAAAGGAGAGCGGTCACAGTTGACGGCGCCCAGAGCCTAAGGAGGGCATAGACGGCGCTGCCCTCCAAACAGACGAGTCCCTGCACCAGGACCGTCAGGTCTCTGCCTCACCGGTTGGTCTTTATTTCCAGTGTCCCCACTTGTATTTCTCCTTTCACACCGCCCAAAGGCTTGAGCCCTGGTTCTGACCTCCTCATTAAGTGGCGCCCCAAGAGCCCTCGGCATCAAGAGAGGGAGGGAGAAGGAGGAAAGGAAGAGGAGGGGAGCTCCCGGTCAAAAGGTGAGAGGGCAGCGATTCCGGAGGCTGAAGCAGGAGGATGGCAAATTGGAGGCCAGCCAGCCAGCAGCTGAGTAAGGCCTAAGCCACTTACAAGACCCTGCCTCAAAATAAAATAGGGCTGGGGATGTGGCTCAGTGATAAAGTGGCCCTGGGTTCAATCCCAAGTACCCCACCCCCACAGAAGTGACAGGGCAAACACACCATCTGGACCCTCGGGCGACAGGGCAATGGATCCCACACCTGAATGAAAAGTAGTCCACGGTGGAAGAGGGCTTCAGAGATGAGGGGCCTCTGCCATGCGGCCGCCGAGCGCAGGAGCAGGAAGCCGGGAGCAGGACGCAGCCAAAGGCTCAGATTTGTGCGCAGACTGGTGCTCCCCTCCTTCAAGCCACCAGTCCCCTTAACCGCCACCCTGCCCACGTTCGCGCACCTCCCCGGGTCTCAGGAGCTCACCGCTGCCGCTGCTGCTTCTTAGCCCTGTGTCCTAAGTGACCGACTGAACACCCCGGGCCTCGATTTCTTGGTCTGCAAAATGGGGCAATCACAGCAGAGCCGACGGGGTTGACCGAGCTGGCCGAGTGCGGGAGCGCGCAGGAACCCGAGTGGCCCTCGGGAGGCCGGGCTCTGCGGTTCTTCCCCGACGCTTCCTTCGTCTCTGTCCCTTCCGAGCCAGGCACGGTGCTCTCCCACCCTCCCCGACACGCGCCTTGTGGCACTGGCTCACGCCCGGGTCACCTGGCTCCAGCGGCAGTGGAGCCCCTCGGCGAGTCGCCGCCAGGGCTGCACAGCTCCGCTGCGGAGCCCGGCTCCTCCCCGTGGTGCAGGGCGCAGCGCGAAGCCCCGCTCCAGAGGCCCCGGCTCCTCCCGGGGTGCAGCCCGCAGCCCGGCTCGGAAGCCCGGTTCTTCCTCGGGG